TTTTTTTATGGTCAGTAAATAACGGATGTGACCATCTATCATCATCCAAGTAGAATGTCTGGCTGATGAAAAAGGATCCCTCCTCCCCCATTTCCAGCAAATATCACACATAAAACATCTTTCCCCCTTTTGTACAGTAGACCTTTATTTGTGTAGCTCTGAAGAAAACAGGTAATTTCGTGAACAGTGTAGAAGTCAGGTGAAGTATCAAGTCAGCTGCTGAAGAGGCTGCTTTTAAAATCTCCCCAAAGGTACCAGCGACATGGCTCGCTGAGCTCTGAGAGCTCAATGAGGGGAGAAGGGGCCGTTTGCGGAGCAGGTGAGGAGAGAGGGGAGTGTTGGACACGCTGACGGGGAGCCTTCCACTTCAGATGTTTGCCCAGGAAGGTTCCATTGAATAGAGCCCTCCTACAAGGCAGGTGACGTGGTCCGCCGAGCTCTAAAGCTCAAATAAGAGAAAATGTGTGATGGGACAGAAATGCAGGCAATGTGTTAAAGGAGAAAGTCTTTAAGGGTGTGACCAGTGTCCGCTGATCCACACTAATGGGGGGCCGTGGTTTGCATGTGCCACGCTGAGGTCTGAACAGGTAGGGCACAAAGGGGGAATTTAATTTGTGATGCCGAAGTCATTTTTGCATGTCGTGCATAAAGAAATACGAGGCATCGCGTTGTTACACTACTGATGGCTAGTTTGAGATCTGTTTGAGCCTCACACGTTTTCTTCAAGACAGACGGTTGCATGGCCCACACTTTAAGAGAGTGTACTTTTCTCCCCGTCTGTATTCCTTGTTGCATTATTTTCTTTGCACTGATTAGTCTCTTTTTTTTCTCATTTCGGCAGTACCAACTTGAATTCTCATTTTTTTTTTAATTTTTTTTTTCAACGTTTATTTATTTTTGGGACAGAGAGAGACAGAGCATGAACGGGGGAGGGGCAGAGAGAGAGGGAGACACAGAATCGGAAACAGGCTCCAGGCTCCGAGCCATCAGCCCAGAGCCCGACGCGGGGCTCGAACTCACGGACCGCGAGATCGTGACCTGGCTGAAGTCGGACGCTTAACCGACTGCGCCACCCAGGCGCCCCTGAATTCTCATCTTATACTTTGAAATTCCCATCAGGCATCCTATTTATTCTGACCTAAAAGTTTAAACTGTGGATTCAGGAAACTTCTGAAATGTCATTTATCAAATGCCACACATGCGATTATGATTTTCTAATAAGATCTCTCTGGAAGTTGTTCACCCATTTTAGATTTCAGAGTCTACCCTCTTTTTTCGAATTATAGTGGTATTAGTGATTAAACTAAGACTCAAAACACTTTGAGTGGTGCCTGGGTGATTCAGTCAGTTAAGTGTCCAACTTCAGCTCAGGTCATGATCTCATGGTTTGTGAGTTCGAGTCCCGCATCGAGCTCTACGCTGCCAGTGCAGAAGCCTGTTTCCGATTCTGCGTCTCCCACTCTCTTTGCCCCTTCCCTGCTCACACTCTATCTTCAAAAGAAATAAACATTAAAAAAAAAACTTTGAAATAAAATTAAGGTAACTGAGTATCCCTATTCTTTGATTTTTATAGACATGAACAAAGTTAGGTTTTTTGTCTATGTGAAGAATTTTTCCCCATATTTTTCTGCATATCTCAATAAATTCAATTTGAGGGGAAATGATCTAAATTAACACACGAACTTTTACCAATTTTTACTATAATATTCATGTTAATTCCTATTGTAAACCTGTCTATCCTCTATGCCTTTAGTAGACATTTCCCTTCATTTTAAGCCTCTCATAAATTTTCTTACCATGAAGCTAATTCAGTAACACACATTTTGAAGTTTAAAATCTGGTCCAGTTGCAGCGGTGGTTGTAAGAATAAACTCTGGAGGCAGGGTGCAAGGACTTGATCCCTTCACTGCTAGATACCAGGCAGACTCAGTCAAGTTACGTAATCTCTCTGTGCCTCAGTTTCCCATCTGTAACGTGAGAGTGATGTGTTCAGTCTCTTATAGGGTCTTAGCAGACAGAAAGCCCTTGCTGGAGCTCTGGAGCCTGATACCCAGTGGCAAGTGTCTCCCCCACCTCACCCCATCCCCCCAGTGCAGTGGGTACAATTTCCTTGTTGAGTATCAGTTGATTTCAACATTGTTAATGGTAGACATAGCAACAGCTCACTTGTTTCACAGTTCCTACATATGGGATGTTTAATACCCTTCATGTCTTTAAAGCAAATAATGATCCCATGAGGCCATCTTGTTCTCTTCATGCCACAGTCAGGAAGGTGGAGCTTAACAAGCTCAGTAACTCACTCGTCTCATGCCCAGAATTGGCCAGAAGGCCTGGATAGGAACCCACTTGTCTAACTTCAGAAGCCAGGCTCTGAATGAATTCCCTGCCCCTGACCCCAAACAGGCCAAAGTGAAGTACAAATACGAGCCTGACGATATTCCTACATCTGCCTCTGCCTTCTCTTCCTCCTGGAATACTGGAGCTATTCCTGTTTCTGCTTAATTAACTGCATTTCACACCCTGTTTTCACGTTTGAAGCCAGTGTCCTTACAGTCTTTGCTGCTGCAAGTGTTTTTTTGTTTGTTTGTTTTTGTTTTTTTTAAAAACCCTCTCATGATATTGTCTTTCAATTTAAAGTCCCTGGAGAGTTTTTGGCATGGTTAGGTCACTCACCTTACTGTTACTACTTTTTTAACACGTATGTTTTTGTTTCTGTTTTTTTAGATTTCTGTATGATTTCCTGATCTCTGCCATGTTGTCCTTCTTTCCTGTTAATCATTGTACTTACTCCATTAGCTGTTAACACTTTGGAATAGAAAAGGATATATTTTCTGGTATTAGTAACCATTTTCAGCAAGCTTGAATGTAGATATTACTTTCCTGAAGGGGGAAAAAATGAATTTATCTGAAAAATGTCAGGTGTATTTAGTTTTCTGCTTTTGCCCTGGATTTGCTGGCTATCCTGTCACAACTCTTCTAGAAAATGAAATTTTGTTTGCCTCTGTACATTTGTTCTTCTAAAAGCAAGGTTAGGCCTGGCCTAAATCTTAAACCCCTGCCATCGTGATATAAAACACATCGTTCATACGTTATTAAAACATGAATTCTAACTACACATGTTTGTAAGTTTGCGAGAAAATAGAACTCTTCCAGAAATTGCGTAAAGACATAAGACAGATTTCCTGGTTCTGAACTTAATGTTCATTAGTCTAAACTGGTCATTTTGAAACAAGCCATCAGGACAGTCTTCATCATTGCAAAGACCGCTCCCCAGAGTATACATACATTTTTTGTTGAGAAAGTTTTTCTTAAATGTGTTTCTACTTTTCACCATGCCTCAGTGGCTGTTCTGCTAATTTTGATTATTGTAAGGTGAAATATTATAATTCATTGGAAATGAGAAGCCCTGAACTCTTTTTTAATGTTTCTTGTTTAAGTTTATTTATTTATTTTGAGAGAGAGAGCACAAATGGGGAGGGGGGAGAGAGAGAGAGGGAGAGAGAATTCCAAGCACACTCCACATTGTCAGCACAGACCCAATGCGAGGCTCGAACCCAGGAACTGTGAGATCATGACCTGAGCTGAAGTAGGATGCTTAACTGACTGAGCCACCCAGGCGCCCTGAGAAGCCCTGAACTCTTAATTAAAACTCAGTTCTCAGCATTAGAATGTTTTCCTCCAGTTCACTTTATAACTTTTTTGTCATTTGGCACAATTTCCTTAACTTCTTTTCATAATTGTTTGCTCAGTGTGACATAATTTTTTGGGTGTTTGATTTGGCATATGTCCTGTAATGCGAGAGAGGACAAAATAAACTCTCTGTCACCCACTAATAAGCACTCAGTAGTCAGAGTTGAGGGGTATTGTTTATAATTGAAATCCTACTCCTTAGAGCCTGGATACTCCTGGATACAAATGGTTGTATCCAGACACTGGCTGTTCTTTGGATATCTTCTGATCTGCAATGCCAGTAAAGAAATTGTACTGTCTACGGCTGATCATGGCTAACAACTGTTGCAACAGTTACTGACTGGTCCCATTCTGTTAACATGAAAGATGCTGTTTGCATTGTATTTGGTCATTAAACCTTAGACGTCAAATATCTTTGAGAACCAGATAAAAACAATGCCATGCGATGGACTGACAAGAATCCACGAAGGAAGCATAATTGAAATTCAGTTTGGGACTAGTCAAACTGACATTAATAACTGGTGGAGACTCTTCCCAGAACAATGTAGACGTTTCGAAAAGATGCAGGTGCTCCTGGAGAAGCCAGGTCGGCTCGTTATTTTGTCTGGGTTGCAGTTGGGCACCTCCTCCCACCTGCCTACCCTTCCCCGAATTTACTTGCTACTGTGACAGCTTTAGTTGAAGAAGAGGCATATGGAAATCTTTGGGGAATTGCTTTCCAGGAGCTAGAGCAGTCCTGTGTTTACTGCTCTAGGACTAATTGTGGAAATAGGAGCCCTGCCCCACCCTACCTCCCCACCCCCAGGCCCGCAGTTTCTTTCTTTTATTCAGGAAAATTTGCGACATTACGAAGTTTGCCTTATACTCTTAATAAAATTAATGTGACATCACCTGAACACTTCCTGAATCTTCTCAACTTGAACAATAAAGAACTACCCATCCATGATGCCTTATAAACGGTCCCTATGCATCCTCTGCGTTTGGGTTCTACACAGACTTTATTTTCCTTTTGAGATGAACAAAACTTCTCTTGGGGATTGGGAAGCCATCAACACACAACTGATGCATTTCCCACCCACCCCCATCGCCGAAAGGTTTATTTCGGAGATAGCATGCTAATGATCATTTTAGTGGATGACATTGAATGTATTGGTTCAAATATGACAGATTATTTTTTTTATTCTTCCAAACCCCCCCCTTTTTTTTTTCTTATGTGTGTAATTTCCCCCCGCCCCCTGCCTTAGACCTGGTTAACCGTTTCTGTGAGCAGGTCCTCAATTTTTTGCTTTGTCCCTACTTTCCTGTCCTAGCCCCATCTTCCCCCGGTGTCGACTCCGTCCCCTTGCAGCGCACAGGCAGCCAGCATGGCCCGCAGAACGCCGCCGCGGCCACCTTCCAGAGGGCCAGCTACGCCGCGGGCCCAGCCTCCAATTACGCAGACCCCTACCGACAGCTGCAGTACTGTCCCTCTGTGGAGTCTCCGTACAGCAAATCCGGCCCCGCCCTCCCGCCCGAAGGCACCTTGGCCAGGTCCCCGTCCATCGATAGCATTCAGAAGGATCCCAGGTGGGTACAAATCCTTTTCTTTTCCCGACCGCGATGTCTAAAGAGGTTTTCCAAGCAGGCGTCCTTAAGACATTGTTCCATGCATGTCCCACCATCGCGTTCATGTTCCTGGCTGAGTATGAAAGGGTTGGCTTGGGGCTGGGTTTTATAATCTTGCGTTTGATTTGGAATACGGCTATTGATCATGTGTCTCTGTCTAGTATCTTTTGGGGTTCAACAGCAAATAATAATTTCTCCAATAAGATATGAAACAGCTCCCTTTCGTGCAACAGAAATTGAGGAGTTGGGGATTCAGTGGTTCGACTTCAGGTATCCCGGTCTAAGCGCCTGCTTGTCTCAGTGGAACCGTGTTTGGTCACTGCGTACCCATGTTTCTGTATTCATGCCTTCCGGGTTATACCCAGAATTGAAAATTTAGAAAATCCAATTACCTTTATTTTTCTGTGTCCAAAAATAAACATTAGGTTGACATTGTTTGGGCGTCGATAAAAACTTGGGTGTAATATCAGAGAAATTCTTATTCCTGAGTGGTGTTTCTTTTTTGCTTCCTTTTTTCCAGCAGTGGTGAGATATTTAGTGGTGCTCTACTTCTGAAGTTTAGAATTGGTTTAGTGATGTTTTATTCATAGCCATTTGATTTATGCTGATAGAGTCCCATAAATATATATCTGCATCTGTGAATACTATAGATATGTCAGATGTCTGGTATTTCTTTATAGCAGGGCATATCACTTGGCTCTGGTAAGTGTACTTAAAATTCGTCTCAAGGAATTTTCTCTGATAGAGCACACAAGTGCATATGTACTGTATTGAGGAGTTCCATAGATTCTTTTGTGGGAAAGAAATCGCTTCTACAAACATAAAAGGAATAATGGGACCATTTCATAGTATTTTTTGAGACAGCTCCTTTAGCACAATTCAGACTGGCTTTGAGGGTCCATGTTGAATATTATATTTGATGGAGGCTCCATGATAAAAATAAATTCTAATAAATGCTCACTGTTAACTACTAGAAATAAGTCTGCTTATCCAGATCTTCAGTTTCAAAGGTCCTGAAATCTGCCCCAAGTCCTTAAGTACTTTCGCTGGCGTGGGTAAAATGTTCTTCAGATAACAACACCTCAGCACTCTCTTAAGTATTTGTTCTTGACGTGCTACTGAAAACATACAGAAATAGAAGAGTAGTAAACTCTTAGGAAGCGGTAAATAGAAAAATACATCATTGAATTGGCATTGCTTTATTTAGCACCATATATTTAAATGAGGGCAAACATTTTATCTCCAGTGGAAAGGTTTTAAATTTTCATATTAGGAAAAGTTGGCTTAGCAAGAAACCAAATGTACTTGTTTCCTTAGCCACAGCCTAGCCTCTTTATTTTATGCTGTATATTAAATGCATTTGATTTTATTAAATGGTGTATCCATGGGGCGCCTGGGTGGCGCAGTCGGTTAAGCGTCCGACTTCAGCCAGGTCACGATCTCGCGGTCCGTGAGTTCGAGCCCCGCATCAGGCTCTGGGCTGATGGCTCAGAGCCTGGAGCCTGTTTCCGATTCTGTGTCTCCCTCTCTTTCTGCCCCTCGCCCGTTCATGCTCTGTCTCTCTCTGTCCCAAAAATAAATAAACGTTGAAAAAAAAAATTTTTTTTAAAAATAAAAATAAATGGTGTATCCTTTCTATTTTTTATTACTGTCATTTTTACGACCTTTTTTTTTTTTCTTCTTTCAGTGTATTGCTATGGCTCTCTTACCTTTTTAAGTTATGGATTGTGTCACCAATATTTACTGCATGCCCACTATAAACCAAAAAAGGGAAACACCAATAAGCAGTGTTAATCATAAATAAGGCAGTATTGGCTATTAATTTTGTGTATGTGTAAAATTTATGTGTAAGCCATTGTGTCATATGAATTACAAATTCGCCGTTACTTTCAACAACGCCAGTCGTTAGCCCTTAACTATGCGTTAAATCTGAAAAAAAAAAAAAAAAAAAAAAAAAAAAAAAAGCATTCCACCATCCTCAGCTCGGATATACAACAAAACAGAACCATATCTAGAACCAGAACTAGATTGTCATGGCTTAGTTAATACAAAAGGAACTAATAATCTGGCATCATCCAAAAATGGATAGAGCTTATAATACAGTAATGCCTTTCTTTAAAAGAAAGGCATTTCTTTTAAAGAAAGAGTTTTCTTTAAAAAAGGGAACATGTCACAGTGTTCAGATTTAACTGACAGACGTCTCAAATCTAAAATTCAAGTCCAAATTACGATGATTCTCCTATGACGAGATTTTTGCATCTTCCTTTGAATAATAAATTTTGATTGTTATCAGGTGAATTTTACTCGAACTAATAGGTTTAACTTCCAGGGTTCAGAATTGTTTATTTTGGCACTGTGACCCATGATTTAAAGCTTTTCGGTCCTTAGACTTTTTTCAAGCTTTTATACATACATTTTTAAAGAATTTTTTTAACGTTTTATTTATCATTAAAATACCAGACCATGTAAGCCTCTGCTGTTCCCAACATATGTTTACAGCACGTTACAATTCTCAAAGCACTTTTACTTACATCTTTGATGTAATTCTCCTTTGTGGAAGGAAACTGATAGGTTTAGTGCCTTGAATAAATGGAGAATTAGAGTGTTAAATGACATTGCAGATCACATTGCTGGCAGGTGGGTACATGGGCTAGAATCCATACTTTTAGGACTTGGAAGCACGTGTTGGCATGAACATCTTAATTTTTTCATAAAAAAAGGAAAAGGAAAGAATATACTCCCGTCTCTTATGATTATTTTCAGAGGGTGATTGAATGGTAGTACCTGGTGTTTGGGTGTAGGAGTTTGGAATGATGAAAGAAGTGATAGAAATTACGGAGATCGGTCTCCTTGCTCTGCTGATTGCTAACTGGATGTGTGGTCTTTGTTTTATTTTTTTATTTTTTTGGCTTTCTTTTCTTTTCTAATACCTACCTTATGTATCTTACTGCAGACCAGGGTATTTTTCTGTGGAAGAGTTTTAGTATTATTTATTTATTTATTTTCTGAGAAAGAGCAAGTAGGGGAGGGTCAGAGAGAGAGAGAGGAAGAGAGAGAGAGAGAGGACCCCAAGCTGGTTCTATGCTGTTAGAGCAGAGCCCTATGTGGGGCTCTGTTCCACAAACCAATGAGTTCATGACTTGAGCCAAAATCAAGGGTCAGACGCTTAATGGACTAAGCCACCCATGTGCTCCTGAGTTTCAGTATTATTCAGTGAGAAGCTTTCCAGAAAATAGTGTACCTTAAAATAAGAATTTGAAATCAAGATAGCTCCAATTCAGTCATTAGACTTGAAACCAGAGACTCAGCTCTTAATTCCTCTGAACCACAGCATGCAAAAAATTGGTTCTGAAGGCTTGCATTTTTCTCACATGTTGGCTCCGTCGTATATGGAGGCAAAACTTTGGTCTTTTTACTTTTGACTGCCCCCGTGATGTACTCCAACAAAGAATGCACAGAAACCTTTTTTATACAGAGAGATGATAAAATCTAATTTCCTTTTTAGAGTCAGCAACCCCTGAGAAAATTTACATCCATATGTTTTTGTTTTCTAAGAAGTTTTTATTTTTTAATTGCGTGTGTGAATCTCTTAAGGATTGTTAACATGGCTAATATATTTTCAGTGCCCTCCAAATTCTGAATTTTATACACTGTTGTTTTCAAACACATCGGTCAAATATAAATCTTAACATCAAATAATATGAAAGAGGTTTTAGTGATGTTGGGAGTGATAAGTCATAGCATCCTTATTTTAAAAATCTGATTGATGAAATAACTAAAACAACATAATGTAAGACTGGCGTACCTGTGTGTACTAAAAGTACTATAAATGTTCTTATCCATAAAAGGAAACTTATGGCTTAGCCGTTTCCTGTCATAACTTAGCGTGTAGGTTGTAGTAGGAATAACGTCTTTTAATCTTGTTGATGAATCCCTTTTCAGGATGTTGTAATTCGTGATGTGCACAATCTCCAGCAATTTTTCAAACATGTTAAAAGAATCTCACTTAGGGGCGCCTGGGTGGCTCAGTTGGTTAAGCGGCCGACTTCAGCTCAGGTTATGATCTCGCGGTCTGTGAGTTCAAGCCCCGCGTCGGGCTCTGTGCTGATAGCTCAGAGCCTGGAGCCTGTTTCAGATTCTGTGTCTCCCTCTCTCTGACCCTCCCCCATTCATGCTCTGTCTCTCTCTCTCTCAAAAATAAATAAACGTTAAAAAAAAAAAAGAATCTCACTTACTATAAACCTGGTTTAAACTTAAACGCTGTCTTCTTTTTGTTACTCAACATAACAGAAATAAATACAATGGCACATCTTTAATGCTGACTTTGGACCCAGATTTGCACCTGCCTTCTAGTTGGTTCTATGAGACTTCTATTCCATAGAATATTTGAACACAATATTTGAACAATAATAAAAAAATATTCATTTTTCTAAGGAATCCTAAGGAATTGCCTACTGCATTTCTACTATGTTTTAACTATTTTAGGAATCGATTAAAGTTATTTTACTATTGGATGTTGTATTAGCAAATATTTTTTAGTAATGCTGCTTGTAAACAGTAGGTAAACCTAGGTTAAGAATGTTTTCCAAAGGCTGTTTCTTCATTGCCCACTACAAAACCACATGTACGGCAGACAGTGAATGAATGAATACTCAGGAAACAAAACATACTACAACAATGCTTTTTAAAAGGTGAAGATTTGAAAAATAATTTTCAATTCTTTAGTAACGTTTAAGACACTATTACGTAACTTACATGACATGGCTGAAGTGTTTATCGTGAACACAGTTACATGGTATTCTTCATTGTCCTGTTCTCTTAGATGGTGGGATCTCTGGGGAGCTTGGTTTTCACTTCAGATGCTCAATAATCATTTATTTAACTGCGGCAAAATACAGCGTTCACAATTTACGGACCATCTGAATGTGAAGCATTTGGAAGTCACTTATTCACTTAGGCTA